ACCAGCTTCCCCAGCTATGATGTTCCAGTAGTGCCTGAAGCCTCATAACCATGATACACAGAATTGTAATTATTGTTAATATGTCTATGAGCTTCCCCTGAAGAGTGGGAATCCTTCCTTACTTGTCCTTACTCACCATAGTATCTAGCACAATGTCTGCAGGGATAGGCAGTCAGTTAAGTGCTCCTAGACTAGAACAGACTTTGCTTCCTCTGCCCCAATCTGGTTCTCCTTCCAAAGAGCCAGAAACATCCCTTCATTGGAGCAGAATTTCAGAATGAAGGTGGTTAGGGATTAACTAAAGAAAACTACTTGGACATACAGAAAGAAAACCACATATAACAGACATGAAGTCTAATCTAGACCATTTTTCCAACATTTAAGATAATAAAGAGGAAGGGTTCATAGTAGCAGTCCCTATATTGTGAGTCCTAAACCTTTGGAAGCCCAGCCACACATAATGGCCATCAGGAACAAAATCTCCTTTAACTAATAATCACAACCTTGGAAATCTCACCCTTCAGGAGGATCCAAGGCCAATTATTGTTCAATTTGCTTTTTCTCTTTTAGAGGAAGAAGCTAGTTTTGAAATCACTTTTCTTCACTTCTATAATATAGCAAGCTCAGCCTGATTTGCCTTATTCGGGCTTATACATGTTTGGTTTAGCACTGGACTGAAGTTAAGAGTCTGCCCTGTCATTATCTCACTTTTTTAAAACAGTACCACAAAAAGAAAATAAATTATAACCTAAACCCATGGATGCAGTAAATATTCCCCTTTCCTTTTGGTGGGACTGGTGGGTGACTGGATTTTACATGAATTTCAGGGTTAAAGTTTCCATAGCACTGATCACATGACAGGAGCTCATGTCCAAGTATTAACCCATTAAGACCCAAGTTTTCAATTCTGCAGATTTCAATGAAATTGACACAGGTACATAAAAAAAAGACCAAGAATCATAATTAAGAGCTTATGTATCATTATCTTATTGTATTTCAATTATTTTATTTTATTTTATTATTATATAATTACATATTTTATACTATAAATTTTTATAGGTGTTCCACATCTGGAATGATGGGGGAAAAATTAGTTAACATAATTTATTTTAGTCTATCCCCACAAGTTAATAATATAACAACACTACTCTGAAATCCTGCTAACTTACTAAAACAACATGCCAACTAATTTAAATATAATCCTCATCCCCAACACACACACACACACACACACACACACACACACACACACATACATCTATACTATGTCCTAAGAAATAAGTATACTAACCTTGGGCTCCTTCAATTTAACTAAATTAATTTAATAGACATGACAAATGCAAGTCCCTTTGCAGAAAGCAAAAAAACTCCAGTTGTATGGAGAAGCAGCTGACCTAGTATCTTTTAATTATCTGTTTCTAGCACCTCCAGACTCAAACCCSGTTCAAAGTCTTTACCTTAGTCAACTCCTGCTTTAACATGCAGCTGAAAACCTCACCTGTAACGCGAGCACTGGGGTGGAAGAAGGAACCTACAGAGCTACTCAACACCACCTCTCCCAGGTGGCTGCAGAGATTCTTCCTGAGACATGGTGAGCTAACGGCTATAGGTCTAGGAATTTAAAAAAAAAAAAAAAAAAGTTCAGAAGTATTATACAGGATTGAGCAAGCTACTTCTATTGGGGACCCACTACATAAAGGATTCTCAGGATTCTATTTACCCCCATACACCCTTTATGGGGGCATTAACCCTATTTCCAAATTAATAATAATTATTTCCTTTTGTGCTACAAACATTCAACCACTGAGGTTAAGTACTATGTATAACATAAACAGGGTCAAGAAAGCTAGTCATCAGAAGAGTCATGTTTAAGTTAGCATTAACCAGAAAGTCCTTCCATAAACAAAAAAAAGGGGGGGGGGGAATCGTGGAGAGGGAGAAAAAAGAAAAATGCTGTGATGGTCAGCTCTGGGCCTGCATGATGGATTTAACACAAAAACTCAGAAGGCCCCATAAGGCCCAAAGATAACACACTCTCACCAATTTTTACTAAATTAAATTTCTCGAATACAAAAAGCAATTTTTGGAGAGAGGGTGAAAAAAAAACCACATATTAGTTTTTTTTTAAATCTATATATAATAAAATTAAATAAACTAGCAATTGTGTCCTAAAACTTAGCTGCCATGAGTTACAGAAGAATGTAACAGAATAAAAGCCCAGTCATCTCTCATCATTTCATCCCTCACTCTGCCCCTAAATGTGTTTCTCTACTTCCCCACTCCTGAAAGCACAACTCCTTAACATAAAATCCACGTTTTCCCATAGTCCAACACTTTGTAACTTTCCAACCTTCATCAGTGGGAACTCTGACTATCTCCACTCAGGAGAAGGCTTCACTCTCCCACCTTTCATCCAAGAGACGCATCATCCTTCAAGTTCTGTTTGTGAAGTCTTTGCCAGAGTCAGAATTTAATTTTCCGTTCCCTGGCATGCCAAGTTTCTTGGACTCCACAACCACACACTGTTATGCAATATGGCACATATATACACATTTGGTGTACATACTGCAGTTTGCTTCATAGTAGCTTTCCAGAGCTTTCTTTTCATCATCCTTATATCCATTACCATGGAAGGAGTTCAATGATTGCTTCTTGAATTAAACTCTCCTCTTTTTCTCCCAACTTTTTATGTCTTCCTTATTAATCCTCCATAAGCTATTTCAACAATAACACAATACGGACTTTTGGGTAACATGATATATAAAAATAAGAAACCAGACAGTAGTAAGATGCTGACTTAATGAGGCAGAGTTTAGACATTCAACCAAGAATCTGTATTTTTTATGACATCATACTTCACTTAAAAATAAATTGTGTCCCTCAAGTGTGTAGACATATTGATACCAAAAACAGTTAAAGAAAAGAAAGACAGGCCACACATCAAACACAGACATTAAAAACTTGACCTCAAACTAAATTTCCAAAGTCTTGATATTTATTGAATACTTGGAGCTTCCCAGTGAAAATGATACCATGTATTTTCTCAGATTACAACTTTCCCTTACTAAGCATTAGAAATGACCCTGTCCCCTAAAGATCACTAACTTCAGACAATGTCATTGTGTATCAAAAAGACCCAACAATTGAGATTTATACGCCCTTCATATGTCCCAGAAAGTGGAACAAGAGAGATTAAGAAAAACTTCACAAAGTCTATGATTTGAGAAAAAAAGAAACAAAATTACATTTTGGAAAATATTATCTTTGAATGAAAACAGAAGTTTTTAAAGGGCTGCCACTTACATTCCCACCTCTGTTATTTTTTCCCATCTCTCACAGGGATACTAAGAGCCAAGCTGAGTGCCCAAAGCCCTGGGCAGCAGCTGCTCCCCCTGAGAGGGTGCAAACAGCAAGTTGCTCGGAGGATACCTAGTAGAGGTCAGACTACAAGAATCACCCTGACCTCAGGAGAATTTTAAAGCAACACAGGCTCACAAGTGTTAATAAGGGTAACCAGAGGTTGAACTGGGAGAGGAAAGTACTACTGCTTGAATACTGAATGGAAGAGGGAGGAAAAAAAAAAAAAAACAGAGGAAATCAATTTCCAGCTCAAGGTTCTTTTCCTTCCAGGGACATCCCTTGCTGCTATTTTTGTTTTTGTTTTTTTTTTTTGTTGTTGTTTTGTTTTGTTTTGTTGTTGTTATTGTTCTTTCCATCTTTTGGGCTCTGTTGCCCTCCTGTTTCCCTTTCCGACTAACCCTCTCGCACTTCCCTTTCCTCCCTTCTTACCGTTCTATCATGGGATAACCACCCACCAGTTTCTAGTTACTGGAGAACTGGAAGGAAAGAACAGCAGAGCTCATCAAAACCCTCCATTTTCCAGATGAGGACTCTGAGAACAGAGCTGACCTGATCCGGCGAAGGTCGCGCCGCTAGGGGACGCCCGGTGCAAGCGGGCTAGAATTATGACAAGGCTGTCCTCTAGCCTGGATCCTTGGCCTCAGCCTTCCTGCCTCACATAACCTCCTTCTCTTACTACTTGGTTTCTTTATCCTCAAATTACACAGAATCAAGAAGAAAGCTGTCCTGATATTCTCACAACGTTGACGATCGCTATTTATGTGTGTTTGTATGTCTGTGTAAAAGCAATTTTAGTTTGGTTCACACGGCCCTAAGTCTAATAGATATCCTTTTCCCTTGGCATTCATTCTATCTGACAAGGGAGTAACTCCTTAGGAGAAGTTAGCAGTTTTCCGAGGGCCTGAACCTCCCTTTAACCAGAACTGCACTTTGAATCACAGACCTCTGGYTTTACAATCACGTTGGCTGAGCAAAGGACACTTAACGCAAATGGTGAAAAACAGACTGTTAGAACCTGAAGGAATAGATGGCTTTGCTTTAACAACTAGTTACGTTTTCAATATTTACGTTTATCAATAGGTATCCAATGAGAAACACGGCACTCAGTGAACTTTCACAAAAGAGCCCTCACTGGAAATCCAGGTTTACGAAAAATCCATAGATTTCCACCAAAAGGAAAAGGGAATAAAGCAGACAGCAACCATCTCAGGCCCCAGATAACAGCAACAAGTCCTGGATGCCGTCACTCTTAACACATCAAGAGCCAAATGGCAGCAAAGAAAAACAAGAATAAACTTTAAATTCATTCCCAAAACTAGTCCAACACAAGCCAAACGAGCCCATCGATTTCAAAACCATCGACTCAAAGCCAGGTCCCTCCCTTGCCTTGCATTTCCCAGTTACGGAAACTTAAGTTGAAAGCCCTCAGTCCGGAGGGACGAGGGAGTCGTCAGAGAGAAGTCAGGGATGTGGGAGCCGCGCTCTGCGGGCGCGGGGATCCAGCGGCTGTTCACGTCCACAGGGACACCGCACTGGGGGGACTTCAAGCGCCCCTCGTTAGTCCTCCCGCGTCCCCACCCCGATCCAGATAACCACAGGCCACCTACGTGTCACTTGGGCGAGCCCCGCGTCGCACTAACCTGGCTAGGGGACAGGAGGGCCGGCTGCAGCAACTTCCCTCCGGGTCTGGGTCAACTTGGTGAGGGAGGCCAGGAGAGCCTCGCCTCGCCTTCTGCACGCCGCCTCGCACGCGCGCACACCCACTCACACCCGACCCGGCGAGCGCGCGCGCACAACACACTCACACTCGCACACGCGCGCACGCACAGCCACAAAGCCTTCTGCGGTCTGACGGTGTGAGTTGAGCGCGCCGTTTGGCCGCCGAGCAGTCGCTGCGGCCAGCCACTGGCTCCACGCCCAGGGGGCGCCGTCCCCTGGTGCCGCGTCGCTCCCGCCCCTTTACCTGCACTCGCCGCCGCCGAGCGTCCCGCTCCGGCCTCCTTGGGTCTGGCTGGCTTCTGGCGGCGCGGCCAAGTCCCGAGGCCCCCGCCCTGGGGCCAGCAGAGCCCAGCCCTCCGCCCTCCCCTCGGCGGTCGCCCAGAGCTGGCCGCCCCTGAGCCCACCCTGCCGGGGTCCAGTGCTTGGCCTCGAAAAGGGACCGGGCTCCCCGGCGCTGGGCCCAGGCCGCTCAAGTCCCGGCAGCGCTCGGCAAGAGAACCGGGGAATCGCAACTCCCGGAGCGTCTCCGCCACCCGGCCCCTACTGCCCAGGCTCTGGCGAGCTGGCAGGGTCGGCGGGGGAGGGGGCCCCAGGGGCGGCCGAAGAAGCAGCACGAGACACCGGCCTCCTTTCGTCCTCCGCCGTCTTCCTTTTATGCTTGCTCCACGTAGCACAAGTCAGCAACACCCTCACCCCCAGACGCCCTCCCGGAGCTCGCCCCCTTACCTGTGTGGCGCACCCAGGGCCCCTGCCTTCAGCACGCCCCCTCCCCCATTCATTCGCTGAACTTCCCGCCGCCGCTGCAGGTCCAGAGGCTGGGGGTGGCCTGAGCTTCCCATTCATTATCTTGCCAACCCTCTGCTCCCCCGCCCCAGATCAGACACACCCACTGCTGGAGACCCAGGGCCGCCAGCTCGGGATCGCCACCCCCAGCCCCCTGCGCTCACCCCACTGCCAGACAGCTTGCAGGACTCCGGTGGGCGCCCCTGCACGTTGCATTTTCATTTTGTCTCTTTTCTCTCCCCACTCGAAAAGCTCTGGAAGACATCGCAAGGCCCGCCAAGCTCCCGGTCTCCGTTAAAGTTTCTAAACTTTAAAGAAGGCACAAAGTTTCTCCCAGGGCAGCCCTGGACTGGAAGCTGCAAAGAACGGGGTCGACTTTGCTACTGGAAAGGTGTGTGTTTCTGGTTCTGAACTTTCACTGACTGGAGCTGTTTGCGAAGCAAGTGTGCCTGTGCTCCCCTAGTCATCCAGATCCGTGATTATAAAATTCTCTTCCGCTTTCCCAGTCTAACTCTGCAAGTGCAAACTATCAATTTTAGTTAGAGTAATTAAGGGCGGGGAAAACACACCTGGAGGTGTGGGCGGGAGCGGCGAGGGACTAAGGCCTCCTAGGGATCATTCTCCAAAGAGTGGCAGCCACCAGGATTCGCCCAGGTCCTATAACATCACTCAGCTGATGTGAGTCTCGCTAGTCACTCCATCCCACCCACCCACGTCCCACCCACGTCCCACCCCTGGTTCCTCAGGCTTTCCGGAGTGATCAGAATTCTCTGCTTCTCCCTCCACCACTAAAGCCACGAGCACGTATCAAAAGTAGCTGCTTGAAAATAAAAGCTTAATCAGCACTCGATGGAAAGGTCACACAGGTCGGCCCGACAGCAGTACGGGAGGACTGATGTGACCACATTTAAGGGGGAATGCTGGACAGCAAGGCAGGGCTTTGGTGGTGGTCACTCGGATAGTGGGCCTTGCATAAGGGAGAGGTCACTGTAATCAGCGGTGGGCATTGAGAGTAAGACTCCCACTGAATCTTACTTTTCAAGCCTCCACTGAGTTGTGCACTGAAGAGACCATGACCATTTCCTGCCAGTGACTTCTTAGAACCTTGACCAAGCTCCTGTGGGTTTTGCAAGATTTTTCAAGGCTGAGCCGTGGCCACTGATCATTTACTATTCGAAGTTCTTTCCTTTAAAAAAAAAAAAATCTTTTAAATCAACTTTAAACGAGGCTGCTTTTTCTCTTTTCCTAACAATTTATGATTCATTTTACAATCTGCTTAAAATATGAAAAAAATTAAATTGTAAAATGCACAATGCTAGTATGTTCATGCACAGCACCAATACATATGAATACTTAGCCATTCTTATCTCCTAAATAACAATAAAGGTTTATCCTAAACTGTAAGGAATATTACATTGGAATGAATAGAAAAATGTTCAATATAAAATCTAAGTATCATAAAAAGTATTTATTGGAGGGGCTGAGGATGTGACTCAGTGGAAGAGCACTTCCTTATCCTTAGCATGTGCAAAGCCCTGGGTTTGATTCCTGGTATCCTACCAAAAGGGAGAAAAAAAAATGTTGCAAGGGAAGTTGCCAGGTGCAGTGGCACAGTGACTCAGGAGGCTGAGGCAGGAGGATTGCAAGTTTGAGGCCAGCCTCAGAAATTTAGCAAGACCTTGTTTCAAAATAAAAAATAAAAACGGACTGGGGATGTAGACCAGTGGTAAACTATTAATTTTAGTTCATTCCCAGCACCAAAAAATGAAAGAAAGAAAAAGAACACACTGAAAGTGGATTTTATTTGTAACTATAGTGTTACTCAATTCAGAAAAGTTTTTATTACTTAATTTTTCTTTCTCCTTCCTACTACACCACCCATGTATTAGGTTTCTCAATACCAGTTCTTCTATATCTAAAGAAAAGATAGTTATAAAGTTAACTGTTTCCATTGTTAGCTTTTCCCCATAAATCAAGAATACACTACAATAAGTTTTTTACCTAGTGCTCTGCTTGAATATTTTTAATACATTGATTTTCATCTCTTGCCTTTTTAAGGAATGCTGCTTCTGCTTCAAATGCCTATTTACTACCGTAACTACTCTCTGGTCCTTTCTAACATCAAATGGGGACATCTGTACTTGTAAGACAGGTGTTTTTAAGGCTAAGGTAGGGACTGAGGCTGTAGCTCAGAGGTAGAGAACTTACCTAGCATATGAAATGCCCTGGGTTCTGTTTTAGCCCTACAAAAAAGAAAGAGAGGAAGAGAGAGAGACAGAGGCAGGCATTCGTGAGTTTTTTGCTATAAGGTACTTTCCTCTTTATTTGGTCAACCATGCCTAAAATGAAGTTAAAAACAAAATAAAAGGCCTACCTGGACAGACCTGTCTTCTTAACAAGCATGGACCTGTCCAAAAGAGACAGCCGCTGCAGCCAGCTTTAGGTCAATAACTTTAAAATCAAAAGTAAGTTGTGTGTCCAGGATGAAAGGAGAGAGAAAATCAGATACCACACAGAACCCATTTTAGCACATAGATTAGTCCATCATAACTAGTATTATGTTAGAAATGAACTCATGCTCTTATCTGTAAAATGGAATAATACTAGTACAATCAATCTTATAGGGCTCCAAGTTGTCTTTATCAAAGATAATAAGTTTGTTTTTGTTTTTATTTGTTCTTTTGTTCGGTGGTACTGGGGATTGAACCCAGGGGACACYGTGCCCGTGAGCTACATTCCCCTCCTTTTTTTTTTTTTTTTTTTTAATTATTCAAACTCTTTCCGGAATTGGCCTCAAACTTACAATCCTCCTGCCTTGGCTTCCCAAATAGCTGGGATTATACTCAACCAGCTTAAATACTATATTTGAATGAGCTTCTTAAAATATTAACAATCATGATGTTGCTTTGTTGGAAATGAAGGAGGATACCTTGATATGCGTCATGTGTCCACCTGTCTGGAACCATCCTGTCATTTAGACTTATTTCCACTCTTAAATAGGCATCCTGAAGCTTGCTGTTCTAAATTTCCCTCCTATCCTCTGCCAAGCAGTCTTTCTACATTTGTTTCTTCAAATGTCTTCAACAGAGCCAAAAATCCAGAAAGAACTAGTGCCATCAGCAATAAGAAAAAATATATTCTCAGCACAATGAAGAGAAATTTTTGATGAGGGATATTCAAGAGGAGTTTTTACATTAATATCTTAAAGGACACTTTCCAGACTCTAGATTATTGATGTCATCTAGAGGTCCAAGGACTATAATTTGAGAGCATTTAGGATTGAAAAATTGGCTGCTATTGCCTTTAGCACTATTGTTTGTTGGAAAGGGTCTACTAGACTCGCCAGTGTTCTCTTCCTCCCCATGTTCCCTTGCCTCTGGCAAAAAGCCTTTGAAATTTTCTACTAGGGAGCAATCAAAACTATCAGCACAAAGATCTGCTGGAAACTTTCCCTCCAGTCTATTAATGTAGAGACTGATTCAAAGAATATATTTTGGTGAAACAAAACCCTGAGAGAATTCAGTCTGCTTGAGAAAGAGTTTCAGGTGCCCGAGGGCATAGGTTTCTGCCTTCTTAAAATGGGGTATTTGTGCCTCTCTGGTGTTTTTCCCTTTAGCCAGAAAATATACTCCTTAGCAAACCTTTCTATTTTAAAAGGCCAGCAGCAGAGGTGGGTGGGGCATCCCATTTTAGTAAAAAAAATAACTCTCTTTTGAGCAGAAAAGAGAATTCCTGGATTCTCCTTGTTATGTTAGCAAGGGGCTTCAGTACAATGCTAAATATATATTATAAGTGATATCTTTTGTTTTGTTACTTTAAAAGAAAAAATGTCTGATGAATTAACCTTAAGAATAATGCTTCTAGAATTAGGTTGTTACCAGACAAGAAGCACATGCCTAGCTATCCAGGAGGCTGAGGCAGGAGGATCACAAGCTCAAGGTCCACCTGGAAAACTTATATATAAAACTTATATATTCTCTAAGGAGAATCCGGGAATGGGGAATAGAAGTTGGGATTGTGCGAAGCAGCCTGGAATGAGGATTAGGCTGTATGGAAACAAAAGTCTGAAACAGAGTGACTGGGCACTCACCTTTTTCTTATCATGTATATCTGCATGAGTAATCAGGTAATGTTGGAAGTAGACCAAGGGCTAGCAAATTCTTTCTCTGCTTTCTTTCTTTTTTTTTTTTTTTTAGATGAAAAAGGCTTTCATCTAAAACA